GGTCTATTATATTTAAAATGTAATTGCTATTAATACAATTTTAAAAATTGACCATCAGAAAGTTTACTGTTTTATTCTTGATTTCTTAAGGCTACTAACTTCATCAAGAAGTACTATTAATAAATTAAAGGATATATACTGTATAGCAATGCATTAGGTAAGGTTCTGAATCGAATATGCATATGTTCAACATCAAAGACTATTTGAATAAAGTTTTCTTTCTTGATAGGAAGACATCTTAAATTCACATCAAATGTAGGTCCAATGATGGAGGTATAGAGAGATATGGAGAAGAATTATCTGGTGAAGGCTGCAATATACCGTGGTTGATATAACTACAGATTGCCAGGAAAAACGATCTGAAGAAAGAAAGACATGACATACTATGAAATACTAATACAGAACCAAGACTACCTATAAGGGTGGGTGGATGGAGTGCCATATATATATATATATATATATATATATATATATATATATATATACACACACACACACACACACACACACACACACACACACACACAGAGAGGAGAGAGAGGGGAGAGAAAAAAAAACAAGTAACAATTGTATGATATGGATGCAAAATTTTAAACAATTTCAATACAACGTGAGAACTTGTGTAAAAACTCAATAAAAGTTACTGCATGCTATTTTTAAATAGAAAATTGGTACAAAACGCTTCATAAATGTTCTATAATTCCAGTAATTGCAAAAATAGATAAATCATATAATAATGCTGGAAATATACAGAAAGAACATTTTATTATATACTGTAGTCAGTTAAAAAAATGAAAATACTTAAAAGAAATAGAATTACTTAAAAAAAACCTGTTGGAAATGAAAATTCTAAATTTTCCTAGTAATTATACAATTATAGAACATTTAATTGTAATTTATTTAAAAACATTTTTCTTTATGATATATGCAGCTACAAGGACAAATTTAGCTCAAGGTTGGAAAAAAGTCATTTTGCCAACAATAGCAAACTGAGAAACAAGTTTGTCTAATTTGCACATCACATTAAACATTTTTTATTAAAAAAATGTATCCTCATAGTTACCCCCATGCAATTTTCCAGTTTCTTACAATAGTGTTTTGGGCTGGGACAGCTTTGTCTATCACAGTTGGCTAGGTTTATACTGTACAAACAAAGCTACACTCTGCTGTTTTAAATTTATAGCATCTGGATTAATATAGCCCTTCAAGTCAAAACCAAGCAAAATACATTATGGCAAAATACAATTTATGTCCAAATAAGAATGAACACATTCTCGTGAGATTCATAATGCACAGTTTGGCTAGAGGGAGCTCTCTAAAGTATGTGCAGAGAAAAGGGTAGGAATTGGAGTTGAAAATTTGTTAGAGTTAGTTAACTAGCAGCTGAATGTGTGTAGGTGTGACACTTTCTAGAAAAACCTCTCTTTGCTTCACAGTATTTCTTGTTATCCTTCCCCTTCATGCTTCTAATTTCAAAATATTTCTCTTTGAAATTCACAAAGGAAGTAAGGAATCTGATCCCCCCCCACCAAGGGAGGTATAGCTAAAGGGATCAAGTGGCCCAGTAACTGGAGAAAAAGCCTTTCAGTATTAATTCAGTAGCTCCTTTTCATTCTGGGGTTGTTCCCATCTGACGTCTGTTCAGAAACTTGGACTGTGGGATTGTCTGCTTCATTAACCAGTATGCATAATGGAGGATGAGGCTTAAATATGCTGCATATAAATATGTATACTATTCTTTAGGAAAAGACATTGAAGAACTGTACATTTTCTTTTGTGTTAGGAGGACTAATGCCCAACGTAGCTTTGCCCTGTCCTGCACAACAGTTCGTTTGTACCTGCTGAACAAAAGCCTTCCATCTTTCTTTCTCCCTGAATGACAGTGAATCACTATTCATCAGTGACAAAATTCACATGAAATATTTAAAATTAAATGCCGCAGACATTTCATACCACAGGCGTGACAGGGATCTGAGCTACAATATCATCTCTTCCTTTTCATCTCCGTTGATCTTCACTGTTTCCCTTTCTATTTTACCCAAGTGGCTTGTACTGTACCTGACAAAGGCAGTCACCCTGCTGATCCTTATTTCAGTTCTGCTATTAGCATCAAAGAGCAAAAGCAAACAACCTTGGCTTGCAGCTCTGAACTCCACAAAACCTTGGTGAATGGGCTCTTGTGTTTAGGACAAAAGAAATTAGGCATTTTGTTGTCAAGAGACTTCTCATGCTGTTTTTAAGAGCACTAAGCTAGATAAAGAGGATAACCTTTGCCTTGGAAAAATGCATGCAAACCCTTGCATTTGTATACATTCTAACTTTTGTTGGTTTTTGCATCATGGAGAAGAGAAATTGGGTGGGCTGATATCAAAGCTAGCTTGAGCGTAAATAGCTTTGGGTTTTAAGGGGCTAAGTATACTTAAGAGGGCTTCTCTACACAAGCTTGCAAAGAAAAGCAGCCTCATAAGGAGAGGATTTGGAGTGGAGAAATAACAGGGGAGTTGAGCTCATACTTGGATTGAGCTCTCTTTCTCTGTTTGTAAAGATCTATTTGGCAGAATAGCAATAGTTCTAGAAAAAGCGGAGTACTTTTCCTCTACCACCGTTCTGTATCTTGCAAACAGAATCTTTTTAAAATTAACTGACTTTAAAGTAAAACTCCACAGCTAGTGACAATATTCCCTCTAATATTGTTGCTCTATAATAAAATAATTAGTTCAAAGACATTATTTGGTTACAGACTATTTACATTGTTCGAATTTTGCTCTATTGTTATTTTTAGTTAAAAGACTGCTAGCAGGGGTTCAGGGTTTTAAAGTAGCAGTCTTTTAACTGATTCAAAATTGCATTATCTCTTTATACTAGTGGTGTTCTGTTGGACACTAGAATTTTATATTAAATAATATACATAACTCATATATAATTCCAGAAATCATCTTGAATAAATTCAATTTAATACACTGCTTTCTACTAGCCAGAAATTTAATTTTGGGGTAAGGAGGAAAAAAGGGCAGCAATGACAGAGTGATTATGTAACATAGATAGGGCTATGTTACATGTTTGGACAGGGCCAGGATTGTCCATATTTAGGGGTTTTTCTTGGGTTTTCCTTTGTTTAAACCGTGTTAAATTGTCTTTGTGTCAGACAATTGTGTGACATTATGGAGGCTTTGAACACTGCAAAAAAGAGTTGTGGGGAGGTTGCAAGTTCTATACCAAAAGTACTAGAACTTCAAGATAGTTTTTGTTTTGAAACTATGGCTTTCTAAAACTCTGAGTCAAGTAAATATAGAGAACATGTAACTGAAAAATGATATAGCAGCCACCATTAATGAATTAGTTTCTGAAGATCTAATGTTGTTTACCATAACTTCTCTCCTTAATATGAACAGCTCTGGTTTTTTGTTATTTTTGTACATTTTTTTTTAGAAATAAGACTACCATGTGTAAAGTTGTGTAAGCACATCTAAAATTGCACCATTAGTGTACAGTACTCTACTGTAAAAATATAGTAACATATTTTGTACAAACAACATTGCAAACATATCTAATATTAGAGTCAAAACTGGAAGCTGTTGCATTCTTTGCTACCTAAGCACATGTATCTGAATTTGCCATCTGGTCAGTAAGAAAAAGAGTTTAAAATAGAAACCACAAACAATGTGACAAAGAAAGGAAAGTGTATTATTTAAGCAGAAATAGCTCCTTATAGCCATTTGTATGTTCTTTCCTATGCAGCAAATAGACACTTGAGAGCACTTGAGAACATGATAAAAGTTAAATCTTATCTCTTAGCATCATGTACCCAGATCAAATTTTCCTACCTCCCCAGGAATTGCATTGTTTAAAAAAATGAAGAAAAAAAAAACAAGAAAAAGAAAAAAAGTTTGTTGATTTTCTTGGACAGTCAGGTCTAAAACAGGATTTCTGAACAGAACATTCACAGTATCCTCCAGAAAATGATCTAGTAAACTAATCTACCAAGTCCCTTCTCAAGTAAGATAGAAGATTCAGCTGATTCTATTGAAAGCTCACTATTGTCTGTCTTTTATGATCATTATGGGTAATTCAGTGATGTTTATGGATGGTATTCATAACTCACAGAAAGTGTGTTAGGTGTGTTAGATGAATGAGTAGTTGGTTGAGTTTGTAAGATGACTGTGTTTCTGCTTTTTCAGAAATTGTTTGGCAATTCAGGGGGTAAGAATAAAGGATGTACACATGCAAAACAATTGATTTAGAATTCAGATGATAAGAAATAATGAATTTCTTCACTTTGGTTTGCTTAGTTGCTGTTTCCATTAAATGAAATGCCATGAGAGAAAGATGTGGTCCTTAATGCAAAATATGTGTTTTTACATTTAATAATGGGAAAGAGAGTACACAGAAAATTTCAGTAAGATTTCTGCAATGTCCGCAATGAAGGATGGTCAAAGGAAAACTGGGCATAAAGAACTACAATAGTAGTTTTGGTTTTCTTTTCTTTTGTTTGCTAGAATCTGGGAAACCAATAATTGGTCATAAATTCACATGAAACCTTTCAGAAGGGGAAACAATTTGCCTTTTTCTCCAATATTACTTACATGTTCTTGAATTTATGAAAATGGAACTGTTATGCTGTGAGGACAGTCTTTTTTCCCCTTTTAAAATCTATTTGTGAAATAAATACCACAGAATATTCTAACCAATATTCTTGCAGGTCTCTGTGTTGGATCTATCTGATTCTGGAACTTCTTTCTCTCTCCAGACAGATATGACATCTGATTAATTTCTACATGCACAGGGGAGAGGGGATCCAAGCCCTTTTCCCTTGCATGACGGGCAGATGGCTGAGGATGGATGATTTTTTAACAGCAAATTTCTGGTTTTGCATGTAATTTCTTTCCATGCAAAGAAGCTAAGCTGCTGGTGTGTATGCATGTGGGTTTCTAATATGTTTTCTCTTTCTCTCTTTCTTTCCTTCCTCCCTTTTCCTGTTTCCTATGAAAATGCTTCATCAGATGCCAGTCATGTTCCAGGTGAGTGTTTGGCTTGCCGGAGTATGGGAGGAAGCTGCCTTCTAAGAATGGAAAAGAGAATGAAGAAGAATTTCAGTTGTGAAGTCTAGAACACATATTTCAGTCAATTGGCAGGCATTGTCATCAGCTGTACTAGATAAACACGTTACGGTATACACAAATGTGGGGTTGTAGTAGTCATTTGCTTGGAAAGCACACAATAAAGTGCCAAAATACTCTGCACAGCAACTGCAGTACAAATTAAGAATAATATGGATTCACTGTCACTTTCTAATCCATTTCAAATGAAATGTTGCTCTTATAGTCAACACTTGGTGTTTTGCTATTACCACATAAAAATTTTCAAGAACTTCATGAAATGTAAACCAGTAAAAGAAGTAATATATTGAAATGTCAAAAAGTAATAATTAGTGCCCAGCAATTGGTCATGGTGCAATATACTGAACAAAGACAGGCAAAATGAACCTAATTCATTTATCCAATTCAAGGTAATATTCATCCAAAATGAACACTGACTACCAATTCCCGTGCTTATTCCACTGTTCCATTCTACTGTGCAACCCTAATTTCATAACTTTGATTTATCTTTCATTGAAATCAGCAGACCTATTGTTCAATGCCAGCAAGATTGCTCTATTTTTCCTGTGACACAGGAAGCTTTATCATGCAACAGACAGGAAATAGAAGTAGGGATTCAAAATTAAATGTTTTACACAGTATAGGTTTAACTCGGCTTCAACCTCTTTACATTATTTTGTAATTTTTTAATCTGTTCATAGGCTTAAACAATCTATGAAAGAAAAGGCAATATACAAATTGAATTTAAAAAAAACAATCTTTTGCTGTTTAAAATTGCAGCTCCTTTTTAAGAGATGTTCAAGGTCAGAAATTTGGGAAGAAAAGGATGAAGAATTTCTGATCAGTCCTAATAAGAGTGAAACTAAAGGAATCTAAAGGGACAAGCGGTTTATAATATGGGCCTGAGCATAGTGCTGGAGCTCTATTCAGACAGTAAGAACTGGAGACTTTTCTTCAGGACCATGGATAGATACCATGGATAGATACTTTTTTTGCCAAAGTCCTAATAGCCTTATATTTCATTCTGCATTATTATCTTTGGGATCCTTGGTGCTCTCCTGAGTTGTTTTCTTGCAGACATTTCATTGCCCAACTAGGTAACATCATCAGAACTAGAAGGACCCCACAATTCAACCTTGACCAATATTCTAATGGTATTATTATCTTTCTCAGACCTTGCCTCTGTGCTGGAGAAAGGACATTACAATTACTGGAGATAATTATCTACCCTACATGTAATGTTCTATCACATTTCAATTCTATCCATAGTCCCATCTAATTATCAGCAGTATTACTACCATGTGAGGCTCTTAGTAGCAAAAAGCAAGTTTGATGTAGTGGTTAAGGTGGTGGCCTAGAAACCAGGACATTGTGGCTTCTGGTTTTGCCTTTGGATTGAAAGTCAACTTTAGGCCAGTCACTCTCTGTCAGTACAACCCACCTCACAGAGTTGTTGCTGTGGGGAAAATAAGGAGAGGAAAGGAGTATTTTGTACATTCACTGCCTAGAGTTACTTATAAGTAATAAAGGTGGGATAAATGTCTAATAAATAAGTATAGATAAATAAGGACTTTTACTTCTTTGTTGGATATAGCCCAGGGACTCTTGACTTTATGATCTTCTGATGTGAAAGTGCCTGCTTCATGTGTGGTGTTATGTTTTAAATCCAGTGTGTGCATAAGTTGGGACAGTAGTAGTCCTGATTCTACTGGCCCATCTTAATTGTGACAGTCCATCACTGATGGCATACCTTGATCATGACAGAAGCAGGTCAAGAAACTTTTAGTGAGAAAAGAATTATTTATTGACTGATTTATTTAGACCATCTTACCTTGCTTCGACTTCAGATTCCTAGACCAGCTTATAAAGAACAGGAAAAAATGAATTCTTGCCCCCAGGTTAACTCTCTAAACAATACAACAAAAATTAAGCTGGGAAATTAAAAAAAAAAGAAGAAGGTAAACACAGGTGAGCACTTTGTTGCAGTGTTCAGCATCAATGGGAAATAATTTAGCAGGTCATACAGATGGTATTGATACAAGCTGGAAGAGCTGCTGCTTTTCCATCTGGACACCACAGCATGGAGGTTAATGAAAGAATTATCAACTGGATCGGTATTTACATATAGTGTAGAATATCTACCTGCTGTTACTTCTTTTTCTAGTAGACACCATACATACAAAAAAGAAATTAGAAGTGTCTTTGTGTTATGCCTAGTTTTATTTGAACAAAAACTCTCACTTTATTCTCATCTTATTTTTCTCAGAACAAAATTATCTAATATCTATACTACCTTTTTCACACTTGCAACAATCTATTTATTATATTATCTTGTCCTTGATTAAGAATTCCATAGGAGGCCCTTGTCTATATAATATCAATTGGAGAAATAAATTACACACTTTCTTTTTTAACAATGTCTTAACAATGCCTAAACTTTCGACTTTCCATCCAGGACAGATGCTACAGGCTTTTTTTCCTTTTTCCTTTTTAAATTGTTTCTCCCTTGAGGCTTTTAGGTTAACTTTTAATTGAATACATTTTTGTGAGCTCAATCACTGTTATTCTCTCAATATTGTTCAATTTTATTTTCATTTCTTCATGCTCCCTTTCTCTGCTTTGGGAACTCCAGGGCCTTTCAAATTCAATTAAACACCTCTGTAGTCATTTTGCTTAATCAAGTCAAGAAATTATATTTATTTTCCTTTTTCTTATGTGCTTAGGCAATTTGATTTTCCTTCATATACCTTCATTCTTTATGAACAAGAAATAAGGAAATAGGAGTTATTGACAGAAGGCATGATATGATGCAACATGGCATAACTCTGAAAGAGATTCTCTCACCTATGACATTTTTTAAATCACTGTCTTTATATTATGCATGATGCACTTGATGAAGTGGACTTTATTCCATGAACGCATATCATAAATACATAGTCTTTACGATGCTTATTTTTACATACACATATTTAACTTCATTGGTTAATTTCGTATATAAAAATCATAATTTGATTCAAAACTACTATCAGTGCAGTAACAATGATCTGACAGTAGAATCCAACTGCAAGATGCACATTGAGTTTTTGATAGCCAGAGGTATATAAAGTCTAATAACTAAATAAATTAGCTTCATTGATTAACTAATCAAGTAGACAGGCCAAAACTATTGTTCAATATTACAAGCTCCTCATAAAAGGTCTAGCATTGGTTGTAGCCAAATGGGTGTCCCCAGGGTTTCTGTAATCCAGGGCTGCCAAAATTGTGTGAAATGAAACTTGATTGGAGTGAATTCCTCATTTTCATGCCAGTCATTTTAATTTTTTGGACTGATATTTAGGTTACCAGGGAGCCCACAAGAGGACTGGTATCCGTCTTCTTTTAACAAATTGCTTGAGACTTTATTTAATTCATTTTGAATACTCAACTATGCTTTAGGTAATGATGCAAATTCAATATTATTAGTATTAGGGCTCAATACATCTTTATAAAATTATAAAGATAATAAACTTAAATTATACTGTCATGGCCAGATCTAGTTATTTTTTGTCACAATGACTTGTCGCATCTTTTTTTATTTAAATCATACTTGGTATCCTCCAGATGAGTTCAATTTGCAATCCACTGAATTCACAGCTGATGTGGAAGGTGCCCATTTTTTAAAATTGGCATAAAAATTTGAAATGAATTGTTGCTGTTTTTTAAAAAAATCTAGGATTCTGAATGAAATTAGACACTGAATATTTATTTTTATATTGCTATTATGAGGAACCTCTGGTGTTATTTTTTTGATTACTCTAGACTATTTTGGCTGATGAAATTTGAATGTTGGTGCCTGGTAAATGAATCCAAGAAAAGAGAGGCAAAGAACGTAGATTAAATTACTTCAGTGTGGCTCTCAATAATCGTATCATGAAAAAGTGCCACAAATTGCTCATCAGATTCTACTATGAAAATGGATTGTATTCCAATTTCTACTACAATGAGATATTCTTTGGGGGAATCTTAAGATTTGGGAAGAAATAATCTGGTAACTAGGGTTAAAGATGATGAGACGCGAAAGTGGATCATTTAATAAAAAAGAGGCATAAGATACCATAGCTTCTTGAAAATTTGAAAAAAAATTAGGAGAGGGTACTATAAGGGAAGCAAAACTTGGTAATGATTAGCCCCATTTCTGGGCAGAGAGTTTCAAAATCTATTGAAGAAATGGCTGAAAATGGCTATGAAAAATACTGCAGTTTGCCATGATTCTATTTGCCAGTTCTATGAGGCCAGCCACAGAAGATCTGACCACCAGATCCAAATTGCCTTTCAAATTATCACTTTCTCATGCTGAAGGATACCAATTGTGAAAAGCTATGTATTTTTGTTGAATACCATTTCAGTGAGAATTTGGGGAATTCCTCCATTAACCTTTGCGGAATGAATGAAAACTTCACAGGAGTGATTCTTTGTGGAAGCTGCTTATAAACATATATTTTAGGATGGTGTTTTTCAAACTTGGCAACTTTAAGAAAAGTGGATTTCAGTTCCCAGATTTCTCCAGCCAGCATGGGAATTCTGGGAGCTGATTTTTGCAAGTCTCAAAATTGCCAAGATTGAAAAGTACTTTGTAGGATGCTCATTCTACACAAAACCAGCCAGTTACTTGTTGTCTTGTTGTCACATTCATATCAGAACTTACATTCATATTTTTTGCACATATATTTATCTGTTTTTCTCCCTATCCAATGCCTGTTACAAGCTTTGATCAGGCAGCAACCACAAGAGCAGTTGTATTAAAGCAGAACTACAGTACAAGTGTAATCATAGAAAACTGAAACTGTAGAACATTTATTGTTCTAAAGTAAAGGGCAGCTAATATAAAACCCCCGTCTAATATAGTAAACATAAACATATTTGAAATATTTGTCTCTAGAACC